AAAAAGGAACTGTAGGAGCTAGTGGCTCAAAAATGAGGTATTAAAATACCACCTTAGTTTGGAAAGAAGCCAATTTAAGATTATAGGGGATAAACAATAGAAAGAAGATTTTCTACTGGAGAAGATGACAATAAACCTCAATCTTGCTAATGAATTCCAAAGTGGATCTGAACTTCAATTGTCCGACTTTTGCTTTTCACAGTCAGTTTTTTCATCTAGAACAGAACAGTGCTATCGATTGTGTCCAACATCATAGCTCTCAACTGAAGCCCAAGCATTGCCTGGAGTTGAGCTCCAATTCTGCTACTACAATTATGACCCTATTTAATCTCATAGGACCTCTCATTTACTGCAAAATGGAAAAGCTAGACCTGAGGATTCCTTAATTTCTTCCCACCACTACATTTCTATGATCCAGAGTTTTTTGCAATAGAAAAATAAAGTCAAAAAAGATAAATACCAATGGTTAAAGTGACTACAAGTGGGGAGGACTGGAAAAGCCAGATCTTAATCTTTCCCAGGATACAGTTTTATAGTTTGAATTCTTTTCAAGTATATATTACTTTAACAATAAAAATAAAAGCCAGTGCCTGCTTCCTCCTGTGAGAGATGAAAATTCGGTTTAAGTGCTCAGATTTAAATCATCTGTCTCAGTCTCACTCTTACCTACCACCTGTTTCTTGATGGTGTCTTACAAAGATCTCAGTGAGTGCACTGCACTGGGAGGCACACACATTGACTATATCTTATTCCCTTGAGCAGTGCACAGGGAATATCACATGTTATAGCGGCTACTAAATGCAGCTGACTTCAAACCCAGAAACAAGGTTATTAAATTTATAGAACATGGTATCTAATCTATTTCATAGGGTCCTGTCAAATATGAAAATGTGTTGATAGCACTGTTTTTAACTACTTGAGATTTACAGAAACAAAATACTGCATATGTTGGCAACTGTGTTGATAATTGATAGAATAATTATAGAAGCAGAACTAATTTCTAGCTTTGGCTTTGTTATTGCTTAACTGGCTAAATCTTAGTGAGGAATATACTTTAATATATCAAAGAAGCATAAACTTTGGAGTCAGACAACTGTGTACTTAAGTAAAATCTGGATCTCAGCTTCCTTATATGTAAAATATATAACATTAATTTGAACCATATCAAACAGAACAGCCACTTTTTGGTAAAAAAAAGCACCTTGTTTTATGGAGTTTAGGGAAAGACAAAAAAAAACCCAACATTCAGCATATTGCTTGGCACATTATATAGGTTCTCAGTAAATGGGAGTTATAATTATTTTTCTTTCTTCAATCCTCACCTGGGGACATGTTCTTCTTAAAGAGAAGGAAAGGGAGAGAGAGGTAGAGAGAGAGAGAAACATTGATTGGTTGCCTCCCCCAGTAAGGCCCCGACTGGGGCTGGGGATCAAACCTGAAACCTAAGTATGTGCCCCAACCAGAATTGAACCTCTAAGACCCCTTGGGGTATGGGACTCTGCTCCCACCAACTGAACCACACCGGCCAGGGCAGAGCTATAATATTTTGATTACTGTTATTAACAGTTATTAACAAGTGTCAAGGAATCATCAGAACCATGATAAAACTTAGCCATACCTTTCCCATAGCTGCATTATATAGCATCTCAAACTGTCTTTCATCAAAGCTCTAAGTAGGTATTCCCTGGGAAGACAGGATAAACTTGGGAACATTACCATGCAGTAAGGAGACAGCTAAGTTCCACTCCCTTCTCTTTGGTCTTTTCCAAAGTTTTCAGGAAACACACACACACACACACACACACACACACACACACACGAAAATAAGGAAAATACAGGAAATTCCGTAACTTCAAAGGATAAACTCATTGTCTTTGTATCCAAGCTCATGTAGGAATGTGATGGCCACATGGCTTCTGCAGACAATTACTGACGTCCGCGAAGCTTTTAAAATAATTTCCTTCATGGAAGGTAATTGGGGCTACACAATGAAACCTCAAGAACACTGTACTATCATGCATGGGATGAGCAGTCTGACATGAAAAGGGAGATTTCAGTCCATTGTGTCAAGCCTTGAAAACTTGAGCAGCTGGAATATAGGGGCTCTCTACACAACAGTCCTTCCAGGAAAGTCTCACGCCTTGTTTTCCTCTACATCCAACAGCAAGTTACAGGGGAGCCAGGCTCACCTACTGACTTTGCAGGCCTGACAAGGTGGTCACTTTAAGTGCAAGGGATTCCACAGAAACTGGGTTGTAGGAAACCTGGTTTGACAAAGACCCACAACGCATCAAAGGAAACAGCCAGGTGAGACACGTATTTGTTATTTCTCGACCCCTTAGTGTAAGGAAGAATGTTTAAAAGAAAGATCATTGAGAAGACTTCAAGAAAAATTTGTTTTACATTCACATAATGAAAAATCATACGAACTGTTAACTGGTACTCTGTAAGGCATTATTAAAAAGTAAGTATTGCCCTGGCCGGTGTGGCTCAGTTGGTTGGAGCATCATCCCCTATGCCAGAGGTCGTAGGTTTGATTCCTGGTGAAGACACATACCAAGGTTGTGGGTCCCATCCCCACCGGAAGCAACTCATCGATGTCTCTCTCTCTTTCTCTCTCTTAAAAAAAAAAAAGAAAAAAAAAGTCAGTGCCATCTTGATTGTTCTGAATGCTCACTGACAAAACCTACTTTTAATGAGAAAAAAAGGGGCTCCAGGAAATGCAAACCAAAGTAAAGATGTATCCTGCTAAGTGAAATCTGCTGCACCTCCACTAAAAGTTTGGCATCATCTGGTAAAGTTATGCACTCCCTATGACTCAACAATTCTCCCTGGACTCTAAGGCATGTATTCTAAAAAAAACCCTCTTACACATTTGCAGTAGTATCTAGGTTTAAGAATGCTTCTAGCATTGTCCTTAGTATCCCCGAACTGGAACAACAAAATGCCCACCAACAGTAGAACGGATACGGGTTATATTCGCAC